CCACACTGTTGCTCAACCTCATGGAAAGCAATTTGGTAGTAGGCATCAAATGCCTTAAAAAGTACGTGTTCTTTAGACCCAATATTCGACTTCCAGAAATTTAATCCATAAATTTCAAGGATTCATGGTACATTCATACAATGGAATACACTGCAGCCATTTAAAAAATGAGATAGAGTTATATGTAATTAACCTGGAAATAAGTTCACATTATAATTAAAGACAATGTTATAAAACAATAAATGATATTAGACCATTTTTGTCCTAAATAATGATAAATACACACAAAGAAAAAATATCTAGAGGGTTACAGACTTAATCGTTGCTATTTCAGGGGGCTGAATTCACTGCCTTTACCTTTCCACCTTATGTACTTCTATATTGTCAGAATTTTTTTATAAAGTGTGGGATACCATTTCTGTTCAGAAAAAAATGAAAATATTTCTCTTTCTAATTATTTGATTAAGTCCCTAACATACATACATACACACATATGTAAAATAAGCTTCTATAATACATCCTTTTACTCGCTGCATAGTGTGGCTATGTCATAATTTAAGCAATTCTCGATTATTGGATATTAAGGTTGTTTCCAAATTTTTACTACTATAAGCAGAACTTAGATGGAAATCCTTGTGGCTAAATGTTTGCACATTTTTAATTATTTCATTAGAATAAATTCCTAGAAGTAGAATTTCAGGCTCAAGATGTGGGCATAATTAAGGACTTCTGACCCATATTGCAAAATTATCCCATAAAAAATCACTGCCAATTTACTTTCCCAACTGCAGTGCGAGAAGGTCACCTTTTCCCTTCACCCAAGACTGAATATTACCATCTTTTTTCCAATTTTTACCAATTTGGTAAGCAAAATGACACATCATTCTTTTTATTTGTATTTCTTTAATTACTAAGGAACATGACATCATTCATATTCACTTATTGGCCATTTGTTATTATTGTGTGACCTGCTTATTGATATCTCCTGCCCTCTTTTCTACTAGGATCTTTTTCTTTCTGGTTTGTAACAGTTCTTTACATACTATTAGCCCTTTGTCATTACCAATATAAATAGGCATTTGAAATATAACCAGTTGTACATGTATGGTCTTGTATACTGGCTACTTCATTGTAAGTTTTCATATCTTTTCTGCATGTAAGCTCCTTGAAGGCACAGGTCATGACATTTCTTGAATCCTCCATAGCAAGAGCACACAGCCCAGAAGATAGCAGAGCTCCAAAATGTCTGAGATGAAAAAATACCGTGTCTGGGATTTGCTTTGAAGCAATCCAGTTTGGAATGGGAGATGAAAATGGGGTAGAGATGAAACAGAATCAGCCACCTGTTAATCATTGTTGAAGCTGGGTGATGGATACACAGAGTTCATTACAGTATTATTTCTACTTTTTTGTATATTTGAAAATTTCCATAATCAAAAGGATTTTTTTTAATGTTTGCTTGATTGATTGGTCAACAGCATCAGAGAGGGGACGTCTGGAATAACAATGGTGATGAAAATGAATTATATATGCATCAAGGCCACTTTTGTAGCATAAAAAAGGTAAGAGCACAGATCTTGAAATGAGGCAGGCCTGGGTACAAATCCCTTCTAGCTTAGTGACCTTGAACCAGTTATTCAACCGCTCTGAAACTCAGTTCTCTGTTACAAAAAAGCACATTAATAGCTACCTCAAAAGGTTCTATTGAAGATTAATGGGTGTAAAACTCAGTGCCTAGCACCAAGTAGCACTTAATAAAGAACTACCATCATTATTATTCAGTGATGCACAAGCTTGACAAACTCTAGCCAACATTTCCTGGTGGTGGTAATGAAACACCCTTCCACTATGGCTGCCATTTCAGTTAATCAACTTGGGCACCAGACAACTGCTTGGCACAGGACTTGGTAGAACCGATGTCAGGAATTATGTTTCCAATACCCAGAAGAGAAAACAGATAAGACCACAGCAAAGGACAAAGCTGTGACTCCCGACCTTACTCAACAGGTTCCCAAAGGGCCTAACTCACATTCCAATGATGCAATCAAGAACAAGAGAGATGAAGCCCTTACAGCAGTAGGTCATTCGCAACTCGGACCAGATACCAGCATCACCCGGGGAGCTTGAAATAATACAATGTCTGGGTCCCACTCCTAGAATTCGATTTAATGGTCAGGGCTGTGGACTAGGTATCAAGGTTTTTAAAAATCTGTGATCTAATGTGTTCCACTCTGCTGAGTGAGTTGGGGCGGGGGAGTAGGGATAAAAGAGGATAAGGGAAAACAAAGAAGAGAACAGAGACCACTGCATCCCACATGAACTCCATTAAAGCCAGCCCAGTCACGTGGTCCCAAGCTGTGTCCCATGCCAGACAAATCCAGTCCCATTAGGGTCCCCTCACTCCCTTCATAAACTTCAAGAGAGTGTTACTGTGTAATAATTCACAGGGCTAAAATACGCTAATAACACCAGGATGCGTGAATATGGATATTCTAAAGAATATTAAAGCAATGTAGCTGGCGTCTAGGTTTTGGTCTTTAAAAAAGTCCAGCTAAAGGATAGCAGAGGTTGGGATGTTTGTCTCATAGCCTTTTGGCAGCCTGTCAAGGCAACTGAAGCACACTCAAAGAGGCAGCCTCATTTTGTGGAGTTATTGCAGTGTCTTTGATCAAGGCGAAAAGCACATCCATTTCAATCACTGTAACAGTGACGGGCCAGCTGTCTGGCTGCCTGGCTGCCCACCGGGGTGAGCCAGCCTCAAGCCTGCAGACACATGGCAGTGCTTAGTGTGTCAAACAAATGAGGGGTTCTTCACTGTCTACTCCACCTCTGCTGAACTCCAGGGCCCCTCTCACTTAGCGATCTGCCCGGACTAATCTGCAAGTTCCTCTCCCTGGCAAACACCACCTGGGCCAGCCTGGCCCCACCAAAACAAAAGCTGGCCAGCAGCTGTCTGTCACGAGGCAGCACACACTTCAGAACCAGGAGGGCAGGGGTCAACTGTTCTCATAACACACTCAGGATTACACAAGCCTAGAGAAAGGGGAAAAAAACTTTGCCTCCTTCCTATTACCTTTACCCCCATCTCAGCCGCAAACACAGCTGAGAGAGATCTGATTTTCTCCCCCACACGTGCATTCTTCACAGGGCAGCTTCAAATACACATACCAAGATCGTCTGCATTCTTTTCACTAGAATAAATAATAAAGGAAAAATTGATGAGGGAGCTCATCAATTTTCAAACTTGAGGAGGTTCAAGAAAACGTTTTATTTTCCTTAAGCGACATCATCCATAACATCTTGGGCAGATTTGGTAGCAGAACTAGAGCAGAGACGGGGATAATGATGATGATAATGACAGATATTTATACAGCATTTATGTGTTCCAAGTGTTTTACATGTGAACTCATTTAATCCTCATCACAACCTTATGAGGTAAGCTATAGTAATACTCATTAATAATAGTAATAATAACAGTAACATAATAATATGTTCAACATAATTATTAAATAAGATAATAATGGAGATAATCATTTCCATTTTTCACATAAGGCTATTGTGACCCAGAGAAGCTCAGTGACTTGCCTGAGGTGGTTGGGGCTGAGATTCATGCCAGGCAATCTGGCTCCAGGATGGGTGTGCTAACCACAGCACAACACTGCCTTCTTCCAGCCACACCTCAGAGCTTCCTTTAAAGCTGCCAATTCAGAGAATAGCAGAGTATGGAGGACTGTGGAAGGCACTGGAACTAGAGGGATCTGAGTTTTAATCCCAGCTCTGCCACTTCTCGGCCCACTGTGAACGGGGATAACACCTACCTCACAGGCTTGTGGTGAGGCTTAAACGAGAAAACGAATAAAAGCACCTCTCACAGGGTCGGCAGCCAAGGTCAGTTTAACCCAGTGGCTCTCAATCCTGGCTGAACATTTGAAGCAGCTGGGAACTTTTAAAAATATAATGCCCAATCCCTACCCCACCACCCTTCCACAATTCCACCCAACGGGGCAGTCAGTCTGAAATTCACAATCCCCTAGGCCCGGCCCAGAAATGAAACCTGAAACCCATCGGACCAAAGGCCAGCCTACACCCTTTGCCCCATTGATTCAGAATTTCAGGGACGCTTATAAACCTCTGCAGCCTCTTCTTCCAGCTCGACAGCAGGGGGACTCCCCCAAATGCTGTTCTGTTCCACAAAGCAGTCACAGGCCCCGGGACCATCCCCAACCATGCGGCTGACTCACCCTTGTCCAATGACCTTCCCCATTTTCATCCAGGTGGGCCTTCATCCAGCCACCTCTCTCCCCCCCATGCTACGTCCCCATCTCCAGCCTAAAAGCTTCATGCAGGAGTACCCGATTGTCCCGTGCTGCCCGTGTTTTAGAAATAGTCTGTGCCAACATCAACATAGCCAGCATTACTTTTCCACAAAGCACTAACCAGAAGACCATACAGGATGAGAGGTGGGAATGCCTGAAAAGAAATTTTAAAATCTGAGTGCACGCATACACATGCATGCACACGTGTGCACACACACAAACACACACACACACACACTCCAGGAACCATGGTATACTTTGTACTCAAGGGAGCACTGCTTCGTTTGAGGACTGGGGTTAGGAAGAAGGAAAGCACAGAGGGGCAGCAATAAACAACAGTGAAGGGAATACTGGGGTTGCCCATGGAAACTGGCAGGGATAAGAAAAAATAATCAGCCCACATTTGACAGAAGAGAAAAATGGAGACAGCCAGCAGGGAGGACCGGGACCAAGCAATGTCCATTTCCTGGCTCAGACTTCCATGCGCCTTTTCAGGACCCACCGCCAGCTGGCGTGGAGGGCCTGGGAGGAGAACGCAGGCACCAGAAGGTAGCACAGAGGGGTGTCAAAGAGCCCTCAGCTGCTCCCCAGAAAACGAAGGCACTGAGCAGCCCTCCTGCTCTCAGGCACCTCCCCTTGGCATCAGTCCAGGAAACAGCCTGAGAGACTTGGCCAAGGCCTCACCTGGGTAAAGGAGCCATCCTCGCTGCACTCCGGGACGAACACCGCCTCCTGGGGCTTCTTGGCTTGCTCTAGGGCCTGAGCCCGTTCCAGGCGACACTTGCTCTGGCCAGCGTCTAAAAGAGGAGAGAAACGAGCATATTTCATACTTCACTTGGATTCCACGCTGGAGCCATGGGACAAAATGGCTGCCTGGCTCTAGGAATGCTGAGAGAAAACCACTCCGCCTGTGGGTGAGCCCACACACAACCAACTGGGTTTTCTAATGACACAAGGGCAGTGGCCAGTGAGCACAGCTAGGTCTCATCTTCCTCTTAATGTTATTCTTAGAAAAGTAGGGGGATTGCATTTATACCAGGTTCTGTTTATTTTTTTCTTGAGACCAAGTATCCCCAGCCCCTCCCAAGGAAAAAAAAAATGTTCCACTTTTATTATTTTGCACTGGGTTTATTTAAATACGTGCAAATTCAAAGTCTCAAAGATGTTTTATAGTTAAGAATTGCAAGCACTTTCTTTGGAAAATCAGAGGGTCTAGGGCAGCCTGCTCAGCCTCCCACAATTCCTATAATGGCTCTAAGCAGGCCAGGGGCCACAGACTGAAATATCTATAGGGTGTAGGAAAGTAATACAAATTAGAGAAGCTAGCTGAGTGTGCAAACAATGGCATTCAGCTTGGAAACACCATAGGGAGTGCTGAGGACGGTGGCAAACTGGAGAACAGCCTCCCTTTTAAAGGAGGTAGGTGCTGTTCAGCTCTAGTCATGTGTTGCCTTGTGGGAGGGAACACAGACCTAATATTACCAAAGCTTCCAATTTTTTACAAAGAGTACAAAAATCCAGATTTTTATGTTGAATCTCCCAATTTTTAAATGTTGTCTCAAATGTTTTTAATATTTTTAAACATGTAAGCAGACCAAACCAAATACATCTGTTGGCCAACAATTTGGAATCCCTATTCAGGAGCCAGTAATAACATCTTGCCATTTTAATCATCTCCATTTACGAAAAAAAATAAAAATAAATAGCATTAGCCAGATAGCAGCACATCTCTCCAAGCCCTAGCCTGGGGGCAGTGTCTAAAAGACAGAAAAGTGCTCAGTTCTCCAGGTAGACCAGTCCTCCGTCCCATATTCCCTGGTGGAAGGGGTGGAGGGATAGTAGCAAACAAAATGAACAGACTCATTCCAAGCTCCTGCCGTAGGAGTGCGCTGTGCAGGGAGCTGGGTGCGCAGACATGTTTCCCTGGCTGGGCGGAGGGGCACACACTCACCTTTGCATCTACCTCGATGTACCACACCCAGAGTCGGGTCTCTGCACTTGGCTCGCTGGTACTCACACATGGACTCGTAGGACCTGCCGTCAGAGGCACAGATGGGTTTGGGTTGAGTCCTGGAGCAGTGGAGGTTGCATTGAGGGTCACGGTCACTTATGAGAAACTAAGTTGGAAAAAAGTGAAAGGTTATAGAGGTTACTTTCACAAGAAAAGTAGAGGTGAGTCCATGACTTACAATACTGGTTTGCCTTGGGGAGCAAGTCCAGAATAAACCCAAAGTTATTAAACCCTAGAAGTGGAAGGGAACTGGGCAGCCTCAAAGTCTAACCAAGGGAGGCATCACGTGCTAATTCACACGCAGGATCTCATTAATCCTCACAACAACCCTATGAAATAGGAACTATTTCTTTCATAGATAAGGAAACTGAAACCTAGAGAGAGGTAACTTACCCAGTGTCACATAACTGTCAGTGGTGAATCTGAACCTAGATCAGTCAGACATTAAATCAAAGCTTTCACCAGTGGGACATTCGGCCTCTCCATCCATGCAGATGGTCATGCGACCTCTATTTGGGTACTTCCCCAAATCAGGAATTCACTAGCAAACTCTACATTTCATCTTTGGAAAGTTTTATTTATTAGAAAGTAGTATTGAGCCCCAAATCTATCACCCTTCAGTTTCTGCCCACTCCTCTCCGGCAGAATACAAGTTAAGTAATTTTCTATGAGAAAAGGATTTCCTGATTTAAAAAAATAACAATCGCATTGGGAAATGCTGAGTTAAACAGGTTTCTTTACTGCAGGACTTCTAAAACACCTTTGCTACATTCCTATGTATTGTGAATCTCCAAGAGGTATAGTAAATTAAAGATAGATAGCTGTAAATTATTTACTACTCTTGCCATTGAGTTGTGAGGTCTAATTCCCTCCCCTTGAATCAGGACCAGCCTCAGTAACTGGCTTGACCAATAAATGCTGTGGCAGTGATGTTTTGGGACTTCTGAGCAAGGTCATGTGAAGCCTTGCAGCTTCCTCCCAGGCCTCTTGCAACACTCACTCCGCGGGAAACCAGCTGCCATGTAAGAAGACCAACAACCCTGAGACCACCAAGCTATGAGGAAGCCTAAGCTAACATGTGGCAAAACCACATGGAGAGAGAAATGCTCAACCAACTCAGGCACAGAGACGTGTGAGTGAAGAAGCCTTCAGATGAGTCTAGCCTCAGCTATCATCTGATTGCCACTAACAGAGATGAAAAGAAGCAACTGCATGAGAGACCCAAGTGAGGACTGCCCAGCTGAGCCCAGTCAACCCACAGAACTATGAGAGATAGTAATAGTTATTTTAAGCCATTAAGTTTTATGCTAGTTTGTTACACAGCAATAGAGAACCAGATCAAGGGGCATATATGATGATGCATCTCCCAAACTTATTTGACCATGAACCCCTTTATCAGGGAACCTCTGTTAACAACTATAGAAGACAGCTGGAAAATAATAATTGGGTCATACAATCCATGAGCTTGTGTTTAATAACCCACATGAGCCTTGAGAGCCGGGTCCACTCTTATCCACCCTCACATAGCAGAGCTCTGCACACTGAAGGCTCTTCGTCAGTACGGTTTGAGGGGCTGAATATCCCACAACGACACATAGCAATGTCATGTGCACACAGCTGGCCGTCGGTGATGCTAGAGTTAACTGAATGATCACACCAAGCTCAGAGAGGTTTAGGGAAGGTGTGAATACAACCCCTGTTTCAGATGTATCTGCAGACCCTTTGCGTGAAGCAAATAGATAAGAACTTATTGACTTTTCCAGACCAGCCAAGGGAGGTCCAGAGACAGTACCACTCCCTTAAGGGAACGCTGGAAACACACAGCCCATAGTGGACAAATTCCAAGAGAGTCCAAGCCTGTTCATTAATACACAGACTGCCTCTCAGCTGTAAAACCAGCCCCCCCAACTACCATGACCTCACGCCTGGGTGCTGGCTGTTCCGCACAGGGAGGGAGCAGAGGAGGCTGAAACCATCACATGGGCCTCGTCAGGATGGACAGCACAACTTGGCCTCGCTTGACATCCTCTGGGCTCCCACACTCACAGGTTCACCCCAAGTCCGACGACCAAAGCCCAAAGGGAAATGTTCTGAGAGTGTCTCATTATGGAGTCCAGTGTTCCAGGACAAAAATCAAGAATATAGAGTCATATCCAGAGGAAGCCACTGCATCCAGGCGGGGGCAGTGTCATCCACACCTCACCCCTGCACGGGATCCCGGGCCTCACCTCCCCTCAGGTTGCCCCTGCTTAACACCCTTGAGTGATGTCCCACTGCCCTTGGGAGGTTCACATGGTCTCCCAGGCCTGGCAGAATCCGACTCGAGGTCCCCTCTCTGGCCTCAGCTCCTACAGCTCTGTCCCCGCCTCACTCACCACTGTGCGGGCACACTGGCCTGCTTCCCATTTCCCAGAGGAACTACACTGGCTCCTACCTCCAGGCCTTTGCACACACTGCTCCTTCTCCCTTCCCTCCCACCCCTACTTCTGATTTCGGCTCACGTCATCTCTTCTAGGACGTGTTCCCTGACTCTCACAAGTGGGATGGGCCCCCCTGTAATAACCTCTCCTACCTCACTTCTCCTTCCTGGCTCTTAACACGGTTTGTGACAATGCATTGATTTGTGTGATTTGATTAACAATGGAAGCCCCAACTCTGAGCTCCATGAGACAAGGATAAAGTCTATTTTGCCTGTGAATACAGCCCCAGCATCTAGTGCGATGCCAGGGTACTTGATTATTTGTGGGATGAATGCATCCCTATAGTGGCATTTCCCACATGGCACTACCTCAAAACCAGCCAGTGCGATGGGACAGGCCTGGCCTCCTGGGCTCCTGCCACCCCAGGGGGTCACTGGGCCACTCTCCCACTCCCACACTCTGAGCTTCCCCTCCCTCCTGCACTACACAGTGGGCAGAGGTGGTCCACAGCTCTCTGCCTCAGCTCTACCTCAGAACTTAAGTTATCTCTGAGACTGAGAGGTGAGTCTCTCCTCCTTCCATCTCCACCCCAGGCTCCTCTGCCACTACAGCCCTCCCAGCCTACAACTGACCATGCACCAGGGAAAACTTAGGAACAAAAGGTCCAGTTGAATGAGGCAGGCTTGGGAAGTCCTGGCCACAGGTTCCTGGATGGGCACAGGACACAGGTGATTGCAACCAGCAAAACTGGCCTCAGAAGTCGCTCTTCTTGCCTCTGGATGGCTCAGATCCATTCCTAATCTGTTTGCAGCCTACAAATGCAGCCAGACCTGGCTCTGTAATTCTGCCTGGGGAGCAGCAGACGCCCGCCCAGAGGGTGGGAACAGCATCCTTGAGCTCAAGCTTCCAGGCCAACCAGTGGCCTCAAGGCTGTCCGAGGGCAGGTCGAGGCCCTGCTTTGTCATACCACTCTCTCCTTCTCCATGGATGGGTGTGCTACTTACCTGAGGTAAAACACTGCTTTTAAAACCCACTTTGTTAGGTTATTTTGCCATGCGAATCAGTAGGAGCCAAGGAACAGCATGCCCTCTGTTCTCATGATCACATAAGAACAGAACTATCCGGATCTTCCAACACCTGGGAAAACCAAGGAACTCATCCTTGGTCACAGAGGAATTTGTTAGCCAGACCTCAAGTCTGAAGAATAATAAGAGCTGATAACTATATATCACTTACAATATGTTAACTAATTTAATCTTCACAATAACCCTACGGAGGCAGGGTATGTTAACGATCCTCTTTTTACAGATGAGGAAACAAAAGCCCAGAGAAGTTAGGCAACTTCTCCAAGATTAAACAGCATGTACGTGTCACTGCTGGGACTGACACCCAGGCTCCAAAGCCAGGCTTCTAACCACTATCCCATACTGCCTTTCATTATTACAGAGTAACGCTACAAACAGAAACTGACCCAATTGCAAAACTGGATTCATGAAGTCAGAATCTGTTTACCAAGAGCCTACTGTGTGCAGACACAAACTGCTAAAGATCCAGATAAGACAGCCCTGCCCTCCAGGCACTTTAAGCCTACTGTGAGAATCTCCTCATAGGGTTCTTGTTGATCTTAAAAAACAGGGATCAAGAAAGACAAAGTTTCTTTTCAAACCCAAGAAGGTTGCCCTGTTGTCTCCTCCCCAGCTCACAGGAGAGGAGAGCCGCAGGTGTCACCGTGGCGTTGAACCACAGGCCATAAATTTGGTTTGGAAATGGCTTGCTCTGGGCCCACAGAGTCACCACGGCAGCTGGACAGCTGCGCCAGAGACCAGCTTAACTAGGTTAAGCTGCACAACAGGTTAAAGAGCTTCAGAAGAAGCCCCACACACCCCAAAGCATGGAGATCCTTCCCAGCTTCAGAAGAGCTCCCAAAGTGTTCCCATCTAGAAAGGACTGGTCCCTGAGGCCAAGTCCAAGGTCTGAGACAGACCGAGGCCATTGCTAAGACCATCTTCAATCATCGGTGGGTCTCATTTTCATCTGTTTTAGGAGCTGTGTGTGTTTGTGATTGTTTTCAAAAGCAAAAAATGCAATGACCTCTATAAAATAGTATGGCTATGTCCTAAAAGGATCACCCAAACCTCCAAACACTGCTTGTTCAGCGGTCTGTTCATCTACTCAAAAAGCAAGCACTACGATGAGCCCAGCACTGCAGAAGGCCTGGGAAGCAGACCACAACCAACACAGTCCTCAACGAGCCTGAGCCTCCCCTCCAGGTTGGAGACGATAAGCAAGCAGAGACTAGCCATACAGCAAGTGAAAAGAAGACTGCAGGACCAAGAGCGGATTTAATCTTAGGGACTCTGCAATGCTACAAAGCCACACAGTCCAACAGAACTTTCCGCAACGATGGGCATGTTCTATATCTGTGTTGTCCAATACAGTACCCACAGCCACATGTGACTATTAAGCACTAAAATGTAGCTAATGCAACCGAAGAACTAAATTTTCAGTTGCGTTTCATTTTAGTTAACTTAAATTTGCATAGCCACATGTGGCTAGTGGCTACCATATTCAAGAGCACAGCTTGAGAGGAGAGGAGAGAGGCCCATCCTCACTGGAGTTTCTCCTAGTTGACCCAAGCTAAGATGGATTGGACTAATGGGAGAAAAGAAGCAGATCCTGGGGATAA